CTGTAGGATTTTGTTCTTCTCTTGGGTTTCTGAGATCTTGACTATTATATGTCTAGGTGTAGATTTTTTTTGATCATGGCTAGTTGGAGTTCTATATGCCTCACTTATCTGTATGTCCAATTCTCCCCCTCTGTCTGGGAAGTTTTCTACTATTACTTCTGTGAACAGTTTTTTATGTCAATTGTACTTTCTCCTGTTTTTTCACGGACTCCTATCAATCTTATGTTACTCTTCTTTGCATCATCTAGCAGCTGCTGGATTTATTTCTTCTGGTCCCTTACTATTTTGAAGAGATCTCTGTTTTCATGGTCCTTCATTGCAATCCTGTCTTCTGTATCTGATATTCTATCTTCAGATTCCCTTAATCTGCTCCTCATGCTTTCAATGGAGCTTTTAATCTTCTGAATATGTGCTTGAATCAGTTTCATGGATTCCATTTCTTTCTTATGTTGGGCAATCATGGTTACCATTTCTTTCTTATGCTAGGCATTCATGGCTTTCTGCATACTTCTGAGCTCATCTATTGTTTTATCTGTTTCTGTTCTAGAGCCTCTAATCATGTCTTTCACTCTGCTCACCATCTCTGTAGTTATCTGGAAGATTATTTCTGTTTTGAATTTTTCTAGATACTCATGCACCTGCTATGTTACTTCCCATGCTATCAGTTCAGGGTGTCCAAGTGGTTGATTATCGGACTTTTCCACCTCGTTTCCCCCAGAATTTGCCTTTTGGGGGTGGAAGTCTGAGTATGTGCCTTAGTGAAATGCCTTCTCATTTTTGTTTTTGCTACTGTCCTTGGTTTAGTTTCTGGGTTGATACTTTGAAGTTGCTTATTGTAAGTTTTTTTGTTGATATATTTAGAACACTTATGGAATGATTGCTTCTCAGAGGGGGTCTTCCAGATATAGCTGTTCTTTAGGTTTTGATTCTCTAATGGCTCTGAGGCTATCTCATTTTCATTATACCAGGATGGACAACTGATTAGATCAATCACAAGTGATACAATCAGCAACACAATAGCATTAAGTACATCTTTAGAAAATGACAACTTGTGGTAGTTATTAATCTATCACCTTTAATTGTGTGAATTAGATCAAAATCAAGGACCAACCCAACATATGTTTATAGTGAATAAACTCTTCATTATAGCAACTTTACCCTTCAGAATGGGGAGTTAGAAGGAGTTGGGGAGGGAGGGATACATAGGTAGAAGGATAGGGGAAGGTTAGCAGTGAGGCTTGAGGACACAGGTGAGAGAAGGAAAGAGAAGAAAAGAAAAATAAAGAAGAAATCCAAATTAGGGTCAGAACAGGAACACAAAGGGAGATGAAGAACAATGTGTGACAGCAAGGGAGTGAGGGGGAGAAAGTAAGAAAGAAAAAAGAAAGAAAAAAGAAAAAATTTTTTTAAAGGAGTAGAAAAAGAAGAAAAAAAATTAAAAATAAGAGCAAAAAAATAGTGGTAATTTTGAAAATAACAAATAAAAGATAAAAGTGAAGGGACTCCTTCAGGGTATGTCTCTGCTGTCAC